GTGGACGAAATGATGATTTTCTTCGGTATCGATAGATTTTTTTTCTTCTTTTCTGGTCCATTGTTTTTGTTCCAAATGGATGAAGAATGGGTGAGAGAATTGAGTGCAGCAATTTTCATTTCATTCCATTGTCTAGTGTCATCGAACAACAAATGAAAAGACAAACAAACGACAAAAAATAAACTAGAAATAAAATCGAATGAAAATAAAACAAAAACAAAAACAAATTAGATCCCAAGTGGATTTGCCATCAATCCATTTTGGTCGATTTTGTTGTTGTTGTTGTTTGTTCGGAATAATCCAGTAAAATGAGAAAGAAAATTTTTCGGAAAAATTTTCGAATCACATTCATTCATAACATGTGTGAGAGAGAGAGAATGAGATGTGATCTGTGATGGACAAACAAAATCAACCTACAATTTTCTGACAAATGAATGAAAAAACCGGTAAAAGCAAAACAACAACAACAACAACCAGGACCTAATGGACTAATAATGAAGAAAGAAATCTCTTTTTTCCATTTTCATTTCATTTTTATGAGTGTTTATTAGATTAATAATGATGATTATTAGATTAATAACAATGATGAACATATAACAGCTCCAACTTTTCAAGCTATTTTTGCACAAGGCCTCGCGATTTTCTCGGCCGGCCCTGATGATGATGAACATATAACAAAAACAACAGCAACTGCAGTAATAGGCAATGATTGTCACTATTATGTTCAGCAAGATTATGAGAGAAAATGAATTCATAAGAATTATTATCATTATCAGTAAATATCATTATGAAAATAATGGTAAATCGGGATTCAATGAGAAATAAATAACCACTTTTTTTGAAAAATGTATTTTTTCTGGACGATTCCATAATGTTGAAACGACTACGATGCACCTGCACCACTATAGACAACATTGACATTGTCCATTACTATTACTAATAGAACATAGAAAAAATAAATTGTGGTTGATGATGGATGAATCATATAATTTTCAATTATTTGCTCGGTTGGTTAGTTGGTTGGTTGGTTAGTTGGTTAGTTGGATGGATATAATACAAACCAAAGATAAACATTACCGATGATGAGTGCCAAATGTTGTGTTTTATGGAATTATGGAATTTATGCAAATATCTCTTTTTCAGGTTCGTCCATGATGACGGATCTATTGAATAATTATGACGAAAATTTTCAATTTGCTATGAGATTGTATCGGATGAATTTGACCCAAGATCATCATCATGTATCATTCATATATCCATCAAGTGTGTGTGGCTCAGCCTTTAATGCATTTAATTAATTAGAATACGTTGCATAAATTCATAATAATTAATGCAAAAAGCGAAATGAAAAAAAGAATAAACGCCTGAAGATAAATCATCTGGAACATTTCGATTTTTTTTCGTTTAGTTGACAAAATGATGATTCATTTCATTTGTAAAATAAGTATTAAAAGTCATTGGTAGATGGCGTAACGAGTCTTGATAAAAGAAATTGGTTTTCATACAAATATTCAATTCGTTTATATTTAGGCTTGCCACACAAACATTTTTAATCCATCAATCAATTTACTATGATATTCGGTCGACGATGAATGAAACGAAACGAAAAAAAAGAAAAAGAAAATAGCATTTACTAATCATATATAATGGTTAAAAGAAATCTTCGACGACGATGGAACAAAATAAATGAATGAAAATGGATACATTTTCTTACTCTACGGCCATGGAATAAATCCATTTTAATTTCCTTCGATATTCATTTGTTTCAATTAAAACTGAAAAACGAAAAAACGTCTTAAAGACGATGGAAAAAGCAACGACGACAATTTTCTTTAAAAAAAGAAATTTTTCTTTTCAACAAACAATATTGTTGCCGTCGCAGTGAAAAAAAAAGTGAAAATCAACAGAATTAGCAACAACAAAAAAAATGAATATCGGTTTTACAGTTATTTTTTCAAAAAGCAAAAAAAAAATTAAAAATGATGATGGTGATATGAAACGGAATTTTGAAACTTTTCGTCTTTTTTGCTGTAATTAGCATGTATATGTTGCTAGTTGCAGTTTTCAGTTTTCTTCTTTCGTTCATCATCATCATTATCGTTATATGAAAATTTTTTTTCCCTGAAACAATAAAAGATGTGTATATTTTTATATTTTTGGTAACATTGAATCCAATCGAATAATAAAAATGACGAGGACGATAATGATGATGATGATGGCTTTTTTACAAAACGGGTGGATGTCTGTAGAATTTTCGGTTTGATGGGCTTCTGGAAATTTCCCAAAAAACATCATCATCATTATCATTATATTTCACATTATCAAGGTTTTTCGAAGAAGAGTTCTACTAGGTTTGTCACCATGGCATTGCTTGGATTTTTCTTCAACCCTATCAATCCATAAAAACCGGAACATTGATCATCACCATTGTTTTCAATTGGTGAAACTTTGAAACGGATCCCGTCAAACGCATGTCTTCGTTTAAAGAAACAACAAAAAAAAATTATTTCGAGTTCGGTTCGTTTATTTTTATTGTTGAAGATCACACGCTTCTGTAAGCCGACTGAAGCGAATGAAAACAAGAACAAAAACGTAAGAAATGCTGTTTGCTCGAACCAGAAAACAAAAAAGTTTGACTTTTATTACCACCATCATCAACATCATTGCAATCAGCAGCCAAAGCAGTTTCAGTTATTATGATCATCATCATGGTCATCATTATAAAGATTATCATTATTATTAACACCCATTATAATCATTCGTGGTATTGTCGCCCAAAAAAAATGAATAAATTTCTTATTTTTTCTGGCAATGTTTTTATTGTTGTCGTTGTTGTTTTGTTTTCTTGATTTTTGCGGTTAATTCGGCGCCTAACAGCTTGGTCGACACTTTTTTTGCTGTCGGACTTTTCGGGTTAAATCATAGATAAAGTTTTTTTTTCTACGTTTTAAGAATTGAAATGTGGCATTTTTTTTGGTTTCTTTTTTGAGAAAAAAAAATAATGGATCCAAATGACCCACGAGAATAATCACCGGTACAAAAAAAAAGTTCTGCTAGCCAGCCATAACCATTTACTACTAAATGGCCATTATAGACATGTGATTGTGAGAAAGGAAAAATTTCCAAAACTACTACTACCAACCATTGTGGATGAAAGAAAAATCGAGTGTCAAAAAAGTGTACAACGGAATAAATAAGATTGAAATAAAAAAGTTGAGAAAATAATACATGCTAAATATTACAATGATAATGATGATGATAGTAAACGATAAAAAGAAAGGAAAAGAAAAGAAAGACGAAAACAAAAAAAGTTAAGTTTCAATTTAGTCTTTTTTTTCACATTTTAGGCCAGTTTCGTTACAATAATAATCTAATGTAGTTTTGTTGTTAAGAATAATCATCATTATTATCATTTACCAAGTTGTCGCGGTGTGGATTACTTTACTGGATTTTGTGTAACTTTTTTCTCTGACTATAATAATAATGATGATGATGATGATGACAAAGTGAGAGATTCAAAGTTTTTTATTTTTGCAAGTAAATCCAAAACACACACACACACACATGCACACAAACAAAACACTATAGTGTTAAAAGTGTTAACACTTTTTTTTCTGTGGTTTTCTAAATAAAATTGGATCAAAAATGTTTACCGTAAGAAATGAAAAAACTTTTTTCTTTATTAGATACCATGTATATGGAAATGGATAGTGAAACAAAATATCAAAAGTTTTTGTTTTACCAAAAAAAAACCATTGTAATCCGGTCATCGTCTGATAGCAAGAAAAAAAATACACATGCATCATCATGGATTACTGTATGCCCATGAATATGAATCAAGCATCCAACTTTGTAAAAATCCGAAAAGAAAAGATTTTGATTGATGTTAATTATACCACGGATATCATGTTGAATTTTAAAATTGGAAAAAAACGAAAAAAAAAATTACTTTCAAATCACATGAGAAACATGAGAACGGTTGTTTATGTCTATGTGCGCGCGCGTGTGAATAAAGCAAATTTGAATTTGGGGCCATCATTTGGCCTCTGACTTATATATCAATAATCAACAGCATTTAGCATCACTTTTATGAAATGAAATAATCTGCTCTCGTCGTTTGTTTGGTTTGGTTTGATTTTGTTTCTGGACACCATTTTTCAACAACACAAATCATCAAACTCTCATCAACATCTCTCTGATGGGAAATTGAATTTTTTTTTTTTTTTTTCTTGTAAATTTCAATTCGCACGCAAACTTCAACAGATAGGCAAAAGCAAAAAGGTAATGATGGTCATCAAGGTCTTTCTTGTTCGCTAAGCTAAATATATGGCCACTGGTGTGTGTGAGAGACATACACAGCCAAAACAGTTGCAAGGACAGGTCCTTTGTAAATGAAATGACGAAAAATTAAACGATGATGAAATTGTCCAACATAAAAAAAATCACCAAATAGACAGGTAGAAAAGGCAGAAAATTTTCTCACGCAAACCTAGAAAATGATGATGATGATGATGAAAAAAATTTTGGTTGGCCAATCATCATCATCATAATCATTGTGAATGATCAAATTAATGAGCTACTCATACATCCATGTGTGAATGGATCAGAATGATGAAAATCTCATTCGGATATGAAATGTCCAAAAACAACAAAATCCGGTAGCTTGATTACATCATCATCATTGGTTTGGTTTGATTCGACCCGGTTTAGTGGATAAATAATTCAGATTACCGGGTAATCATTCATTCATTCCATGTCATGAAGACATAAAGAAAGAGAGGTGTGTTTTGTGTTTTTGGCCTATTTGTTTTCTTATGATTGATACGACATTGAAAGAAACACCAATACATACACACACACAAGCAAATCATTAAATTCGAATCGGAAAACAAACACATACACACACACGAGAGGAAAAATCATTGATGTGGCAAGAAAGAAAAAAGTGTTTATTATCGCACTTCATCAATCATCATAATAAACAAACCAACACACACACACACACGATGATTGAATCTGGTCGCATGCCATCATCATCATTTGGTTTGGTCAATCTGTTTCCACATTCAACCATTCAATCAATCAATTAATCAATCGGTCAGTCAGTCAGTCAATGTTGAAAACGGGTTTCACCTTGACCATCGTTATAAGTTTTTCGAAATTCCAATGTAATGATTGTTGAACGAAATTCTTCAATTTAATCATCATCAGGCTAAATGAAATTGATTCGTTAGGAATTTTTCATGTTTTTAATGCATTCACGATGATGATGATGATGATGATGTAATTATTTTCAAGGTCTACGGAATTCGCAACCAGACCGAATAGTAATAGATAAATAGACAAGATAAATCAATTGAAATGACAAAAACGAGGAATTTTCTTTCCATTTTCTCTCGTCCATTAAGATCGAATGAAATAATGATGATGATGAGGATCGATTTATTGGATATCGAGACTATGGAATGTCTCTCGTGTTTATTTGTTTGTCTGACGAAAATAATACAATTAAATAATGATCACGATAATGATGATGATGATCGCGTATCGATACTTTTTCCGTAAATTGAAAATGGATGATCAATTCTTCATTGAAATGATAATTATCAATTCATGATGGCTATTAATGTTATTTGTTGTCGTTGTTTGTGCATGGATTCTTTGTAAGATGAAAATTAATGTTTGAAAAAGTTTTTTTCGCAAGAATTCCTCAAATTCTCACCAAATGACGACGATAATGATACGAAATGTTTTTTTTGCATTTTGGTCCATTAATGATCATGTTGATGAGAGGATTAAAGTCTGAATTTGATTAGTTCATCAATTTATTGATTAATTCGATAAATGATTTTCAAATGTTGAACCTTTCAATCCAAAATGCCACGTGAATCATTAACTATGGACAAATCAATTATTAGTTAGCCACAGGTAAAACATGGACAAACCATTTCCATTTTGAATTGAGAGTGGTCAGTCAAATCATTCATTCTAATAGGAAAAAAATTGTAACAATCTGGACGAAAATATTGGCATCTGGTTAGATTTTTCCAATTTGTAATACTATTTGATGTTTTCATTTGTTGTTTTGTAAAAATGGTATTTTCTCTTCATTTTTCAAAATAACGTCCATCTTGACAATTAGTTCATTAATTATAAACACAAACAGACACACAAGAGCAAAGGTAAAAATCGATGCAAAACATAAGTGAGAAATAAAGTAATCATTCGTGTTTCAGAAGTGAGGGATTCATTATTTGTGTTTGTTTCGTAGTTTGAATAGACAAAAAAAACAACACCTAAAAGTGGGAGAACAGAAAAAAAAATTAGAAACAAAAAAAATCAATCCGAAAAAAAACCCAAATGTATTTACCACATTCGCACCAAAGAAAAAGCTTCATTTGTGGCGTCCTGAATCTCGATAGTTGTTGTTGTAATTGATGTTCACATCATCAATGTGATTGCAAGTATGAGATTTTGAAACAGAGAAAAACCTAAAGCCGGCCAAACAAACAATTTGTTATCGGAACGATAATGATGATGAGATTTAATCGGTTCATTTTGGTTTGTTGTTGTTGTTATTTTGTCAGATCGTAATGTTGTGTGTTAAAGGAATGGAATGAATCGATCAAACGATCGATTGATCGATCAGGTCAAATCTGTTCAAGCTATGTTGTTGTTACTGTTGTCGTTGTTGTCGGTTTGTTTTGATCGATACATTTGTTTCTACATTTAAATTCGATAATTAAACAACAAATAATGCTGATGATGATTCGGTTGATTGTAATCAATTTTGTTATTCTCTTCATTCCATCATCATCATGATCAATTTATCTGAGTAGATTGGATGGCTACATTGGATTTTTTTCATTCGTTCGTCCAGCAAATGGCAGGTGGTAGATTGGGTTTACATTTTGTTTATATTTTTGGTGTAGTAATCGTTGTCGTCGAGGAAGAAATAATTTTTGATTCGAGAAAAAAATGACTCATTTTATCATCATCTTGAAATATCGACGTTTTTTGGCGAACGTATTTCTAAAATCCATCATATACGTGTGTATGATGTAATATTAATGAAAGTGATGATTTCATCGAATTGTAATCAATCGATTGAGAAAGAGTTGTTGTGGCAATCAATAATAATTATCATCATCAATGAAAATATATCGTCTGTTAAAATGAATTGGCGGTGTTGAATGGCCATGATTTGATTCTCTTTCGTTCCTTGAATCTATAATCTGAAAACATTGCAAAAAATGGTTCAATTATGGATTGAAATAAATAACATCAATTCTTTTCATACTCACCACAATAGAACAATGAATAAAGAAAGAACAAAGTGAAAGTCATTGACACACGTTCTATCGAGAGAAAAAATGATTGATTGATTCAATTCGATTCTATCATCGGGCTGGATTGATGGAAAAAAACACCCAAAATACAATACAGACAATGATGCCAATATTTCATCAGTTGGCTATTTTTTTTCTTTCACAATCGTTCATTTTAACAATTCTTTATTCGTTGTTCGGTTTGATTCTTTGATTTCTTTCTTCGGTTATTGTTGTTGTTATCATCATTGGTCGGCATTCTTTTTTCTCGGTTACTTTGTTACAACACACACTCGAATCGTCATTTAAATGAATGAATACAAATTCATTGTGGAGTAGAGATTCATTCATTCATTAGATTCATTTTCAGTGAAGAAAAGATCCGCTTTCACAAAACACATTCGTGATTCATTCATAGCAAACAACGATTCCACTTATAAAACACACATGTTGAAAACGAAGAAAAAAACAAAACAAAATGAATTACAATATTTCAAATCTGTGAGAGAAATTAAAATGCGTTAACGAGACATAAACAAATGAAAAAAAACCAACCATTTCTGCTTATCATTGACAAAGGTCAGTCAGTAAGCCAGTTTGAAGAAAGTTCATAAATGGCCATCACCAACAATAGTTTTTCGACCGTATCCCTGTAGTAAGTGAGAATTCAAAAAAAAGGAAAATCATCTTGATCATCGAACCAGAACTAAACACTTGGTGAATATAGTTGTGTGGGTGTTTATTCCAGAAAAAAATAATTGAATAATTGTCTAGAATGGTGAAAAAATGTTTTATTCACATTGGACACACGACTAAATGAATGAATGAATGAAAAACATTGAAACTTTTTCCACTCATTCATTCATTCATCAATCAATCAACGATGATGCGGTAGGTCCACAAAAAATGGTCTTTTCAGTTGTTTACATTATCACATGCACACAATGGATCGATGGCCCATTAATTAATTGTCGAATTGGTCATGTGTGTGTGGGATAACTTTCATCTTTTTATATATCTTACGGGCATCACGAATTTCTTTTTTTCGTGTGTTTTTTGGATTCTCAATCGACCCAAAAGATGTTGTTGATGATGTAAATATTTGCTTGCTCAAGCATCATCATGATTATCATTCGTCACTTTTGACCTCCGTGTGTACACACATCGAGAAAGAGAGATGGGACAAAGATGTGATCATCTCAGACACAAACAAACACAAGGCTGACCCGTTCCGTTCATTTGGATGAAGATTTGGCCATTTTTGCAAAGCATCCAATGTTTGTTCCTGTTTGCAAGTTTGTATACACAATAAGGGTTAGATAATTTTTTCTGCACTGACGGAATAACCTTTTTCAAACGGATATTTTGGATTCGTCTTCCAACTTGTGTTACTGTAAACAACCAGAAAAAATTCATTAATTCATGGATCATGCAAGGAAGAAAATGATAAAAACAAAGATGGTCATCAATATGAATGACCTCTCAACCCTCTCGTAGCTGACATGTTTCAAAATGTCTAAAATAATGTGCAATGGAATAGGGCTATAAATTTCAAAAGATCAAGACAAATGATGAACAACACAAACAAACGAGACAAACACACACACAGACAGACAAAGTGGTGTCAGCTTTAATGTTCCAGATGATAATGATGATGGTGGTCCATTATCTTTATTAAGATTACTTCAGAAAAACAAGCAAAACCAAACAGAATCAAGATGTTTTTGTGGACCCGAATCTTCATGAATGATTCAAAAACACACACACACACACAAATACACACGAACATCTCGAGTGTAGATTGGATTTTTTTTTTGCATTACATAGCATGATCATTATCATTAACATTAAGTCAAGTTTTTCGGGTGATTCTTTCACATTTGATTAGTCAATCAGTAGTAACGTGAATTTAAAAAAGTGATGATCACAGAATCAAAATTCACAATTGGATTGCAAAATAATGCACATGACGTGATGATCCGTATCGAAGAGATCAAATCGAATCGAATCAAATAATGTTATGGCTTTTTAAAAAAAATAAAATTTCAACTTTGAACTTGACTTATTCCAATTTTATATTGTATTTCGATCACATGGTCCGATGGGTCAATTTTCGTATGCTTCAAACAAACACAGATGTGATTCGGACACTGAATAATAACAATAATGGATCACACATAGATCAAATTCAGTGAAATTCATTCGAAATTTTAAAGTTTATTCCGAAAGATTATGATTCAATCGTCATCATCATCAGTGTAAAAAGAGAAAAATAATGCCAGTCAAGAGGCTGCATCACTGTAAATTTCGAAAACATAAATTCAACGATGATGATGGCCATTGTGAATCATGGAGGCACATCATCGTTTAAAGATTATGACCCTTATGTGTCACATAAAGCATTAAATGTCAAGCTGCTACACAAATGCGGCTAGAGATTTTTGCCTGTGAAACAGAAAAAAACAGCGTTAACAATAACCGAAACACAGAACGAATCGTTTCGATATGCAGATATGAAACATTTATGGGCAACAAGAACGAAAAAAATAATTCGGGTACTTTTTTCGCTGCGACACAAATATATTCCAATGTCACACGCTTTTTTAATTCAGGCAAACGGTCCAGGACTGTGACCGAAAATTCTAAAATTCTTTTCATTCAGATAAAAAGAATTACAATCCGTGTGGTCTGGGCAAAAAATCAAGCCAAGCATCAACATAGAAGAATGCCATGAAGATGATTTTTAAAAAATTCATGAATTGGCTGGCTGGCAAAAAAGAGAAAATCATTTCATTGAAAAATTGATTGGTCGATCGGTTTGCCTAGAGTCACACAATCAATTAATGATCGCGAAAACATGAACGAGAATAATTCCATCGGAGAACATCATCATCATTATAAACATTGAACGCTGATCACATAAATCGATTCTCATCATCATCATACATTAAAAAACATAGGATGATGGCGAACATTGGCCAGGTAAAATGAAACCTGGTTTTGAAGAAAAAAAACGAAACAAAATGCTAATATGATTTTCAATCAACCAAACAACAACACAGTAGCTAGCAATCTGCTTTGCTCTTCAACATTCAAAGGCAAAGGCAAAGTTCATAACCACTTTCACTTGACGATTCATCGTCATCATGACCTTTTCATTGAATGGAAGATTGTTGTTGTTGTCGATGGTGGTGGTGGTGCATCATGAACATAATTATTAAAAATAAAAATCTAGAGAGCAAAAAATACTTAGATCAATCTATTAGTCACAGAACCTCTAACTAACTAAACAACCAATTATACTCATACCTGGCTGGCCTGATTTTAGCTACCTGAACTGAAAATTTTTGTTTTGAAAAAATGCAAAATTTCAAAGTCACGATCATCGATGATGATGATGATGATGATGATGATCAGCATGTGTTTAGGCGAGGCATTCTTTGCTATATTTATGTGGCCATGGTTGTTTTTCGGATAATTTTTTGCTTTAGTTTGATCCACAATACATTTTTCTGCCTTCTTGTTCCTTGTTCTGTTGTTTGATTCAATTTTTTCCATTCATTCATACACAGCCAAACTGAAATTAAATGCATTTCGCGTGTGTCTTTTTTTTGTCTTTTGGTCATGGTGATGATGATGATGACGATGATCAGAGGTCGGTAGATTCATTTCATGGTTGATAGTGGTGGTGGTTTCTCTGGTTTGCTCATCATCATCATCATCATCATCATCGGTGATAACGATAATAGGGACTTTTCTATCGTTCTTGATGATGAAAAAGATCATTTTTGACCTTAGGCTTTTGGCGAAACAGAAATTTCTTTCTAGTCTTTTTCTAGCTTCTTCGTGACTCAATATATGTGAAAGATATAAAATTGATAAGGAATTTCTTTTTTTTGAGGGTAAAAAAAGACATCCAAAAATGAACCAATTGGTTATCGATCAATTCTCGAGGTCATTATCACACACACAAAGGGCTACTGTTCATGAACATCATTATGATCAGGAATGAGAGAAACAGAAATGATAATCTACTATCCATTCATTGATTCCACGTGTTTGATACGAAAATCAAATCAGGAATTCTGAATTTATCTCTCATTTTCCGGAATGAAAATCGATGTAATCAAATAAAGAATTTTTGTGAAATCCTAGAAGATGAAAATTTAAAATCTAAAATTTTTCGAAATAAAATGAGTCAACTTTACTTGCAATTTTGTTTTGTCCCTGAGTTTTTTTTAGATGTGAAAAAACAGGGCGATGGTTATTCATCACAGACAGACACAAACTATTTACCGAATAAATTATGTCTAGATGATTGAATCCAATGAGTTTTTTTGTCGAAATTCAAATGGCCAAGCTCGAAAAGATCGGAAGCGCATATGAAAGCTGTAAAAACAAAATCAAGGTGTGATCACTTTCATTAGTAAAATTTATCACTTTCGAAGGAAAGAAAAAAATAATCATCGTCATTATCATTACCTTTTTAAACAAAAGTATCAATTCTATTCATTATTTATCATTTAATTTGATGATTACGATGGCAATTTTTGAAATTTCAAACAAAAATTAAAACAAATAGAAAATTGCATCAGATTATTTTTGTGTTGTTCACCGATAGAGGACGCCACAAGTTAGGGAATGAATGCACATAACCCATGCTACTACGAATGTGTGGTGTAATTTTAAAATTTCTCTTTTGACTAATGCTACTACTCATAGTTTCTTAGCGTTAGAAATAAAGGTAGAAGCATTGTGTTAAGGTGGAAAAATTACTTTTTTTAGTTTCCGCGCTTTTTGTGGGTCTCTCATAAAGCGTCTTCCTCATCATTCTTATGCCACAATCAGAAACACATCCAATCATAAATCGTCTGTTTCCATTAGCCTCCTCTTTGTTCGCATATGTAATGCAGTGGTAGTTGTTTCAATCGTCATCGTGTTTGTGTGTGATTCAGTCGGCTCGTTGCTATGGTCTTGTGAACATCGTATGATAACTTGTACCGGCCGTTTTCTAAATTTTGTGAAAGAATTTGATCGATTTCTTTCACAAACAAGTCATCCTCCTCACCCTCTTTACTTCCTCTTTGTTCAATTGCTGCTGCTGTTTTTTGCGACTAATGAACCAAAGTTTTATCCACATCCATCCAAATCGATTAAATCAATCAATTTTTTTCAAAATTCGATGGCAAATTTCTTTGAAAAATTGACAAACTAAAAAGTAAGTGCATGATTTTTTCCATAGTTTTCTTGTAAAAAAGAGTGAGTGGGTATGTGTACCTGTTTCACGCACATGTTTATACGGAAGAAGAAAATTTCGAGTTGGTCGGTTTTGGTGGATGTTTTCAATTTGAAACAAAATTTCCGTTTCATTTGGAACCTAGTCATATTCTGTGATTTGTGATTTCGTCATCGTTGAAAAAAACAACACGAAATAAAAATCCATCATCAATGAAGCATGTTTATTTCTTTTTTTTCCTCTTCATCATCATCATCATCATTAATTCTCATCCTAGTGTTTGTGAACATTTCCATCATCAACATCATCATCACACGCAGGAAGTTGGTGAATTTCCGTTTTGATCCATGTGTTTTTGTGTGTTTCCAATGTATTTTTTTGAATTTCATTATCATCGTCATTGAAAATCGATCCGTTTGTGTGTGTGTCGTTTATCGTTTTTGAAAAAACATCATCAATTTTTTTTTTGTTGATTCGTTTCATTTGTTTTTCATCAATCTGAATTCGT